TCTGTATATAGTTTTAATTTATATTCTTGGTTTACTTATGCATTTCCATTACAAAAACAAGAAATGCATAAGTTTGGGGGTTGTAAAAAGGGTTGATACTTTTGGTTGGTGATTGAGAAAGAAAATGGGATCAATGTAGCTCTTTGTGTTTGCATGAGGAAAACCGAGTTTTCTTGCTTTGTTTTTCCTATCTTTTCTTTGGAGCTATTTACCCAAGCCTAACGTTACAAGCTTACAAATACCTTTTGATCCTTAGCGATGTCTAGCCTACATTAGTGGAGAGTAGTTCAATACATAGGCTTATGAAGTCTACCACCATTTAATAAACTTTACATTTTTGTATAAAATAATCCGAGAAGTTGAAAGGTGGATTGAAGTGGGGATTACCTACTTAGGGGACAAATAGAGAAAGATAGTCAATTCAATTTATGACTTTTTGGAGTGCTAAGCATTTTCTTGTAATAATGTATCAACAATTTTTTAGACTTGCATTTGCATTCAATTCTAGGCATCTCTTTTGTGTTTGATTTTAATTTTCCTTTGCTATTTCAGTTTTATGTTGTTTTTCTTTTGTTTCAATTTGTTTTTTATGCTCGAGGATGAGCATACCTTAATTTGGGGGTATTTGATAATCTTAGGATTATACTATTTTCTATTTGATTATTGTAGGATTTTTGGATACTTCTTATGAGTTTTGTGCCTGAATTGTTACTTAATCCTACATATTTTATGTTTCAGGCCAAAACGTGCAGTTGGAGTGAAACAAAGCAAAAATAGTTTTTGGATCCGAAATCGAGCACAATTCAGAAGATCGAGGAAATTCTGATGCTGATTGGAAGCACCCACGAAGTTTGTTCCTATTGGAGATCAAGAAGATTGAAGAATCAAGTGAAGAAGCAAGCAGAGGGTAGTTCTGTAAATTCAATAAAGAAAATAAGAACTTCGCCGCGGCAAGATACCTCTGGAATCACATAGTTCTACTCAAGTCGAAGCCGCAGCGACATTTCTTCTTTGCCGCGGTGAAAACTAAAGTTTTATGTTTTGTAAAAACGGGGTGTTTTCCTTTTATAGCGTTTTGTCCTAGGGTTTTTGGCTACTATTTAAACAAGAGTTAGGCCATTTTTTAGAGGAGGCCGACATTTTAGGAAATAGGAAGAGGAGAAGAGATTGGAAAGATTTGGGTCTCCAAATTAGAGTAATTTTGCTAAATTACTGTAATAATAAAATTGGACATAGGCTACAACCTCAATAAATTTAATTACATAGCAAAATTACCAATATGCCCATTCATCTAAAAGACGAATATACCATTTCAAAAAGTCACCATCCTTAAACTGTCTTCTAAGTGTGTGACCCATAGGCTCCTTATCATATGGTAGTGAGTAGTATCACCGATTGACACCAATCAATCTTCTCACTATGCACAGACTAAGATTGGCCCTTAGCAAGCCATCATGGCCACCCGATAGATTCGAATTCAGCGAAATAGTTACCTATCAACGATATGGTTACCGTGCAATCAAATCATTTCATCATACGTTATCTCATCGAGGCTGAGGTACAGAACTAGTGTCAACCTCAGTTATCCTCGATATCTTTTATTTAGTTACTGGACCAATGATTAGAATAATAAATTGGATTGAGTAACAACTCAATCCTACGGTGGTCATAGATTTAATGTCATTGCCATTCACTGAATTGCATCGTGAGATAACTTCTCCTATACCCAAGAGTGGTGAATCCTTTGTCAATCCACCATAGTCTTGATACACTCCTTGATGTAGCCAATCACTACTGTATTGATAACTCTGAATAGAACTACGTTGGGCTACTGTCAAACTACACCAATCGGTGCACAAGGCACTCCGGTGATCTCAAGTCTAAAGATCACATGCACCACCATTCGTTAGAGGATTTATTCCATAGACACTAGGGTTACCATCTATATTGAATCCTCTGATGGGCCTGTTTAGTGAACTTGCCTACAGCAAACACCCATGTGTTGCACCAGGTTGTCGGTAAATAACATTGACAAGTGAGATCAGTCACTACCTTTCGACAGGGTTGTTCAACACTATGATAGCCTTACCATATTATCTGTGTCCTTGGTCAAAATAATACTAGGGCTACGGACATTTCTAGAATGGCCACCATATGTGCTCAAGGGTTCTCTCTATCAAGATTTGAAACACTTGATACCCTCGTCACGATTCTACCATTCTAAGGACATATATTAATACATACAATTATGATTTACATGATATAGTAGAAAACGTCTTTTATTGATTAATAAACATTATTACAAAGAGTCAATTCTACAATAATTGATTGGCTCTAGGACACCTACTCTAACAGTACATGGGTCGCTATTACAATAAAGTGCACAAGTAAGGGTTGATCTCACAGAGAGTTGAGTTATCAATTAATATAATATTGTGCAAAAACAACTAAAATAATGAAATCAAGTGAGATAATAAAATTACCCAACAACTTAATCAAGTCCAAATTAACTAAAACTCAAGTAGGAATAACAAAAATACTAAAAATAACAACTAAGATAAAAACGTGATCTAAACAAATGATCCAACAATGAGAAATGGTCTAGTGTATCAAATTTCAACATAATTATCCTACTTTATGTTATTAATCTAACTGATGTTTCTCAATCCAAATCTTAGGGTCAATACTTACCAAGGTAAGGTCATGCCGTGGCCAACATGATCAACTGAGTGTTTTCATCATCCAAACTAGCTAGTGGTGTGTAGCCTAGTCTAAATAACAAAAACCCATTATGCATAAAAGTACCAAAAACGAACACAAACCAACTTACACCTATCGAGGGCATTGCACAAACATAAATCAATTGTTCATCAAAGCAATATGAGATTAGCTAGTGGCATATAGCCTAACCTCAACTCATATGGTCAATCAATCAACTATTAAACACAATCAGACATCAACAACGATCAAATATCAAGAGATATTCAAGATTGGCTAGTGGTGTATAGCCTAACCTTGACTCATACAACCATTCAACCATAAATCAAAGACAATCACACAATAATGATGATTAATCAACTCAATAAACATAAATGAATAAAACTAAGATACCATTGGATCAATTAAACATTCGATTAAACAATAAACATAAAGTAGTCTAATTAGATTACATTGGATACACTAGGAAAGAGTCTAGCTACTCATAATAACAAGGAAACAAACCTTGATCTCACCCATAAACATTTGGATATGAAATCCACTCAAGATGATAAAGATTTATCCTACAATAATCAATCACTCCCTCCTAAGTTTTCCAAAGTTACAAAATGTGTTTTGAAAACCTAATAATAATGAAAATTGGATTAAAGTTGCCTTTATATAGTTTTTACGCAAAATGACAAAATTTTAAATATTGGTCGCCAAAATTAGAGTTGAAAATGTGGAGTTTTTCCAAATATCGTGATTTGCGCCACGGCGCAATTGATTGGTGTTGCGGCGTGGCTTCAGGCGATTTTTCTTCAAGAAAAACCCTATCACGTCGCAGCGCAATTTGGATTTCGTTGACTTTGTGCTACGACACGATAATTCTTCGTTGGGGAACAATAGGAGTTTCATCGTCTTCACACTGCGGCTTAGAAAAGTATGATGTGGCTCAATTGCTGAATTTCACTCTTTTTCCGCTCACCTTGATTTATCTGCACTCGACGGGTCCAGGATGTCCGAACACCAACACAAGCACAAATAATCCATCTATTTCACCTAAATACCTGAAAACACAACAAAACCCGTGATTCTAGAAGATAACAAAATAAGTAAGGAAACTCATCCTAAATAATGCGTTGCACCTTGAATTCCTTACAATTTCACCCCCAAATCACAAAATAAATTCGCATGTTCATCACTCAACAATTCTCCCAAGAGTCAACTGATTATCTTTGGTTGGCGTGTTTTTGTCTTGGCGATTTAGTCGGTACGAAAATTTGCACCAACAGAAATTGTGTCAAGGACTTAAAGGTAATATTAAATAATATTAAAGTGTTAATATTAAATAAAAATTGTTTCAAGGGCTTGAAAATAATATTGAACTTGTATTAAGAGGTTAATATAGGATTCAAATTACTTCAAGGACTTGAGAAAAGTTTCAAATTTTTTCAAAATGTTCCAAGTATATATATGCCTTTATAATCCCATTTGACCTAATTTTTAAAGAAAAAAATATCTCACTCCCAAAGAAAAAAAAATTCGGCCATCTCTTCTTCTTGCTTGGGTAGACTTGCTTTGAGGATTTTCATGGTTATTTGAAGATCTTTCAACTCCAATCAAAGCTTCAAGTATTGTAAAGCTTTAAAAAGTAACAATTTCCACCCAACAAAGTTTATATTACACGCCTATTGAACCTTAATTCATGTCATACCTTTTTTCATCAGTTTTACCCCTAATAAGCATGTATTCTATCAACTTGGGTGGTTGGGGGTGATTTTGTTAAAATTTAAACATTTACTGTAGTTGGGGTGTTTTAGAAAAATCTCAAATATAGGGGATTAAAAAATAGTTAAAATAATAATAATAATAATAATAATAATATTTAAAAAGAGAGGCAATTTAATAATTTATATAACATTCTTACAAATTTATCCTAATCTAAGTAAATATATTTAATATAACATTTTCAATAATATAATATTTCTCATTAATATAATAATCTCTGAATTAAACGTACCCTCAAAACCATCTTGATAGAGGTTTATAATACTTTTAAAAGATCATGGGGAAGTTTAAAACTTTCTCCATATACTTATATCCAAAAGGAGTTGTCTTAAAAAAAGAAGAATATGATAGATTATGAGGAAGTGGGCGGTTGGATATAAAAGTGATTACAATTATTAATACTTTAATGCATTATGTTTAAAAAGCAATGAGATGAGACCCATTACCATTATCTAGTGAAAGTGGGATTCTAATTCTCATTCCAGCACCAACACAACACAGCACAACTCAACCAAGTATTCTCTTCTGCGCTATTCTTTCTTACAATGTCTTTCCTTCCTTTTCTTTTCTCAAATGCTGGGTGGGTCCCTCCATCACTCACTTCACTTCATAATCATAATCCCATTCTTCAATTGCTTTCTTATACTACTTGTGCTTCCTCCGCCTTTTCTTTTCTTTTCTCAGGCTGAAGTTACTGCACAAGTCATGCCTAAATCAGGTTCTTTTATTTCTGTTATTTTTATTTTCTTATTTTTGTCATCTAGTGTAATTTAATTTTATTTCTAACTTGGAATAATGATTTGAGTTTCAAAAGGTGGCAAGAGAGTGGTGTACGAATGTTGGTGGGAAATTAAAAGTAGTTACCAGTTTGGAGCAAAGCTAATGATAAAATGTTTCATACTCCTTATCTTATTAAGTTTCAGTCTTTCATCCAAGGAGCCTGATGTTGAAGGTATAATAAACTATAACTTCTGTTTCAATCTATATTCTAGTTTGATTTTGTTGTGTATTATGCAAACTAGACGATAATATGTTTTGAAATTTTAAGATGCTGTTGGTTATGTTCATTGAGTGCTATTCATGAGACTCTGTTTCATCTAATTTACACATTGCACACACTTCTTATTTTATCCAAGATATTTTTATGTTCATTTAGAGTTGATTATTTCATTGAGCTACCTTGTGTTTGAAGTGATTATGTATCAGTTTTTTTCTAGGCAAAAGCATTAGGTCATGAAATTGTTGAAAATTTAATAACTCAAGAACCAATCAAACAAATGACTAACGAAGACCTAAAGAAAAAATCATTTTTTACTCTATGTTAAGCCTTCTGAGGCATTTTGTATGACAAAAGGAGCAGTAAATGTATCATCATTTACAACATCAGTAGTTGGTGTATAATGTTTATCCTATGATAGTTGGGGATATACTGTATTAACAATTGATGCAAAGTTTTCAATGCAGCTTCATACTTCTACTGCTTATTCACTTCTTTTCCATTCAGAAAAAAAAAGTTCCCAATTTTTGTTTACTCCGTTATAACTGAAGTATCTTAAAATTGTTGGCCTTGCATCAATTACAGTTGATAAAATCACTGACAAGAAACTTGAAGCTGTTGTGAGAATTTAATAACCTCAAAATTTTAATAAGATTTGTGCTACTCTGTCGACTCTAAAAGCTTCAATGTTGTGTTTGCACCTTTTTCATAAGTTGTTGTCCTAATTCTTCAACATCGACCTTCCATCTTAACATTTGACAATCTACTATGTTTTTGCACCTTGTAGCTTTTGAACAATTGCATTTATCTATTGGCATTTAAACTCAAACTGGTAACTTCATGCCTTAATGATGCAGGAATGAGATATTGTTGGCATTCTAATTCCTAGGGCAATAAAATCTAGGCTAACATTAACCAAACGCAATTTAGCTTGTAGTGATGCTCTTATAAAAATGATAAATACATTCCAAGTTCTTGGATAAAATGTGAAAAACTTATATAGTTACCGAGAAACTTAAAGCCCTTTAATAGAAAGTCAACTAGCTCTTTATTTGAATGATTGTATGCATTATAGATTCTTGCTGCGAGCCATTACTAGTGAGCTCAATGATTGTTTTGTATGATTAACAAGGTTTTATGCTTCTGTTATCTGTCAGGCGAAGCTTTGATGGAGATTTTAAGGACTCTCAATGATACTGGTGGTCGTATAACAGATTGGAATGATCATTTTGTGAGCCCTTGTTTTAGTTGGTCTCATGTCACTTGCAGAAATGGAAATGTCATGTCCCTGTAAGTCAAATAGTTTGGCTGTTAAAGATAGTGGTTATCATAAATTTTCTTCATCACTGCACTTTATATTCGTAGTCCGTAAGTACTTAGGGTTGAAGATAGGATTATAATAAGATAGATAACTTGGATTAGTATATATAAAATTATTATGTGTTTGGTTCGTGTAGGCTGTATAATAATTAATGTGTTGGTTGACAGTAATTACAAAATACTTAGATATTGTTGTATTGAAATGCCCTTTACAAGATTATATTGTTGTTGTTTTTGTTGTTGTATTATTATTATTATGGGACATTTTGTTCCAATAATTAATTAATGAGGTTAAAGAAGTCATTCAACAATTTAGTTAATTGTTATTTGACATCAAAAGGAGAACATTTTGTCCGGAACTTTTAGTAAGTAAGGTAAAATTGGAATAAAATATGATTACCATATAATCTTAAAATACCACATTCTGAGTCGGTAATCGCATAACCTTTATATATCCCTACTTGAATAATAAAAGATTACTTAGTCTTTATTAACTGTTGAATCAGACAAAATAATGACTTGATTAAAAGATAGATTATCGAAGTAATCTTTTTAGGATCTTATGATACGCAGCCTAAAAACCATCTTCAATAGTCGATAGCGGTCTATAATACTTTTTAACAAAAAATAGGGAAGTTTAAAACTTTCTCATCTCTCCAGGGATGGAAAAAAAAAAAAAAATCCAGAAGTAGTCAACTGGTTGACAAGGTACTTATTTCTTAATATTAGATTTAAGCTCAAAGGAAGCTCAACCCAAAAGACTGACCTGATAAGTGGAGAAACCCTTAGGCTTAAGTAAACATTGGTAGGTGTAAGATCCCGATGTGAGATCCTAACATTGCACCCCCTTAAGAGCCGATGTTCAAGGCAACTTTCACTCTTATCGACACTGACTCGACGATAGTCCTTTTCTCCTCTAGGCTGCTTCACTCACCTATCAGTTATTCGATGCAACACCTCCTCTCAAAGAGAGCACACTGCATCTAATCTAATATATAGGTAACCCTTTTCGCAACTCAAACTCTCAACGAAAAGCATCAATGTTACAATTCAAGCCCAAGGAGAGGCCCAATCCAGAAAGCTGTCCAGATAGGTTGAGAACCCCAAGATTAATTACGACACTTGGTGGGGTGTGAGAGGATCAATACTTTGCCAAATGGAGTTGTCTTGGTTAAAAAAACAGAAGAATATGGTGAAGTGTGAGGTTGGAAATAAAGTGATTACAGTTATTAATACTTTAATGCATTATGTTTAAAAAGCAATGAGATGAGATACCCATTTCCATTAGCCAGCGCACCGTAGTAGGATTCTAATTCTCGTTCGAGCACCAACCAACACAGCACAACGAACCAAGTATTCTCTGTGCTGTTCTTTCTTCTAACAATGTCTCTTCCTTTTCTTTTCTCAGATGCTAGGTGGGTCCCTCCATCACTCACTCATTCATCATAATCCCATTCTTCAATTGCTTTCTATATTACTTGTGCTTCCTCCCTTTTCTTTTCTCAGGCGAAGTGCTGCACAGGCATGCCTAAATCAGGTTCTTTTATTTTGTTATTTTTTATTTTGTTATTTGCTGTAATTTGATTTTATTTCTAACTTGGAATAATGATTTGATTTCAAAAGGTGGCAAGAGATGGTTGGTACGATGTGGTGGGAAATTAATAGTAGTTACCAGTTTGGAGCAAAGCTATGATGAAATGTTTCATACTCCTTATTTTTTAAGTTTCAGTATTAACGAAGCGCTGATGTTGAAGGAATAATAAACAATAACTCTGTTTCAATCTATAGTCTAGTTTGATTTTGTTGTGTATTAGCAAACTCGACGATAATATGTTTTGAAATTTTAAGATGCTGAGGTTATGTTCTTGAGTGCTATTCGTGAGACTCTGTTTCTCTATTTACACATTTCACACACTTATTATTTATCCAAGATATTTTTATGTTCATTTAGAGTTGATTATTTGATTGAACTACCTTGTGTTTAAAGGATTAGTATCAGCTTTTTTCTGGGCAAAAGCATTAGGTCTTAAAATGTTTTGTAATTTTACATTTTAAGAACCAATAAACAAATGACTAACGAAGACCTATAGAAAAATCACTTTTACTCTATGTTAAGCCTTCTGAGGCATTTTTATGACAAAAGGAGCAGTAAAGTATATTATTTATAACAACAGTAGTGTGTATAATGTTATTCATGATAGTTGGGGATATACTGTTACTAAAATTGATGCAAAGTTTTCAATGCAGCTTCATACTTCTACTGCTTATTCACTTCTTTTCATTTAGAAAAAAAGTTGCCCAATTTTTGTTTACTACATTATAACTGAAGTACTTTAAAATTGTTGTCCTTGCGTCATTGTACAGTATTACAGTTGATTACAAAATACCCCCTATAATAAAACATTAAAAGTTAACAAAAATACCCCTAACCCACCCTCAAACACCCCCTGCCGGCGACCACCACCGGAGGTGGCCGGAGTCGCCTTATGGGCACATGACCGGTTGGATCTTGCCAGTCATGCGTCGCTATGGCCTTTTTCGGCCAGATTCACGGTGGATCTGGCCGAAAAAGGCCAGATCTACGGTCAGATCTGGCTGTCAATGGCCAGATCTGGCCGTATTTGCTCTTAACGATGGCCAACAAACGGTCGTCGTTGATGGTCAACGACGACCGTTTGTTGGCCGTCGTGATCGAGTGTTACGGCCAAAGATTTGACCGTCAACGGCCAGATCTTTGGCCTTAGATCTGGCCTTTTCCGGCCAGATCCACGGTGGATCTAGCCGGAAAAGGCTAGATCGGCACACTACCGGCCAAATTCAGCCGGTAGTGCGCCATCCTACCAGATTCCGGCCATTTTCCGATAGTGGTGGCCGGAATCTGGTAAATGTGGATTGTTGGGGTGTTTTTGTAATTTTAAAAAAAATATTTAGGGGTATTTAATTAAATTAACAAATTTAGAGGGTTTAAAAAAAAAATATTGAAAATGGTATTCAAAAAAATGAGAGATTTTGGGTGTTTTACTGTTTAACTTTTTTGGGAATACCAAGAGTAGTATTCCCAATCTTGAACCAAACGGAGCCTCATTTTTTTGCAATATTGCATCTAAACAAAAATTGCAACATTTCTTTGCCAAAACCATAAAAAAGACAAAAACAACATAAAACATTGAAAAGTTAGTGAACTAGTTGAGCAAAAAAATATAGAAATAATTCTTCACAATCAAAAGAGCCCAATACAGATAATTATCAAATACCTTTTGTGAACTACAGAAGTGGAGCAATCGGTAGAGAGAAATGGAGAAATAAAGAATTGATGCAAGTAGTAGAGACTAGAGAGAACAGAACTGATGCATGCTAAATGGAGAAATGAAGAAGAAGATGCGAGAAATCAGTGGTCTAGTGGAGACTGGAGAGAATAGAGAAATGGGGAGATTAGTGGAAAAGTTAGTGGAGAGAATATGATAAATGAAGAGAAATTAGAGGAAGTTGCGACCAGAGAAATGTAGAGAAAGGGAGAAATGGAAAAACGAAGAAGAAAGTTATTTGGGTTTAGGGCAAATTGATTTGGGATTTTACATTTTTACGTTTTACTGTTTTTCTTTTTCTATTTTAAACCGGGTTTCAGGTGCCCAATTTATATTTTAAATATAACCCAGCACCCGAACCAAAAATTCGGATACCTACTTAAATACTACCCGAACCCGACCAGGTTTTTCAGTTACCCAAAAAATTTAGTATGGTTTGGTTGGTTACCATATTCGGTTTGGTTTGCATGTATTTTTTGTCCACCCCTACCGACTTTAGATTTGGCCATTTTTTATTAGATTCGGTCGATCGTGCATCGTTTTGACTACTGTTAGCGGCAGCCAGTGGTGGTGACTAGCAGCCAACATTTGTTTTGAGTGGTTGAATGTATTTTGTTAAATTTTAAAATTTTACTGTTGGTTGGGGTGTTTTAGCTAAATTCTCAAATGTAAGGGGTTAAAATAATACTCTAAATAATAATAATTATATTAAAAAGGAAGGGTAATTCAGTAAAAACCCCTCTAATAATCAACCAAACATATTAATTATTTATACTCACCAATCTAAACAAGCATATTAATATAGGAGTAACCGCTTTTTTGAATCGAACCGGTTTTTCGGTTTAGAAAACCGGTTATTCCTTTTTTTTATATAAAACTTTTATTTTTTCCTAAATTAAATTGTAAATATAAATAATACATATCCAAATAAAAATTAAACATTCATACATATCCATTGACCACTACTAACAATACATTAAAAATATTATTATTATTATTATTTTATTTAATATATAATATATAATTTTTATTTTTATTTAATATATAATATATATATATTTGTAAAACCGGTTCAAAAAACCGGTTTCGGTTAACCGCTTTTTATTTTTTCCCGAACCAGAAATTCAGTTTTTTGAATTTTTCGAACTGTAACCGAACCGTTTTTTTGGTTCGGTTATCGGTTCGATTCGGTTTTTGTATTTTTTTGAACACCCCTATATTAATATAACATTTCCCCGTTAATCTTCAAGGTTATCTATTTTAGTGGTAATCTTATCTTTTCGGTATTAAAAATTTCTTATACCAAACACTACGTGAGATTATCGTTTATCTTCCTAATAAGTGTCAAAAACCCCTTTGAAAAGGGGATTATAATACTTTTGAAAAACCATGGTTTAAAACTTCTCTCATAGATGAGGAAGTTGTAAACAACTAAACACCTCTAAAGGTTTGCAAAAAGTATTATATACGTTGCTAGATTATCATTTACCCTTTTGAGATTGTCATTTACCTTCTTAATAAAGTATCAGGGGGTGTCTGGTTCAACAATATTTTATTATAAAAAAGATAGGATTATTAATAAGATAGATAACCTTGAAGATTAGTATATATAAATTATTATTGTGTTTGGTTCGTGTAGGCTGTATAAATAATTAATGTGTTTGGTTGACAGTAATTACAAAATACTTAGATATTGTTGTATTGAAATGCCCTTTACAAGATTATATTGTTGTTGTTTTTGTTGTTGTATTATTATTATTATGGGACATTTTTGTCCAAATAATTAATTAATGAGGTTAAAGAAGTCATTCAACAAATTTAGTTAATTGTTATTTGACATCAAAAGGAGAACATTTGTGTCCGGAACTTTTAGTAAGTAAGGTAAAATTGGAATAAAAATATGATTACCATAATAATCTTAAAATACCACATTCTGAGTCGGTAATCGCATAACCTTTATATCATCCCTACTTGAATAATAAAAGATTACTTAGTCTTTTATTAACTGTTGAATCAGACAAAATAATGACTTGATTAAAAGATAGATTATCGAAGTAATCTTTTTAGGATCTTAATGATACGCAGCCTAAAAACCATCTTCAATAGTCGATAGCGGTCTATAATACTTTTTAACAAAATCATAGGGAAGTTTAAAACTTTCTCATCTCTCCAGGGATGGAAAAAAAAAAAAAAAATCCATGAAGGTAGTCAACTGGTTGACAAGGTACTTATTTCTTAATATTAGAATTTAAGCTCAAAGGAAAGCTCAACCCAAAAGACTGACCTGATAAGTGGGAGAACCCTTAGGCTTAAGTACCACACTTGGTAGGTGTAAGATCCCGATGTGAGATCCTAACATTGCACCCCCTTCAAGAGCCGATGTTCAAGGCAACTTTCACTCTTATCGACACTGACTCGACGATAGTCCTTTTCTCCTCTAGGCTGCTTCACTCACCTATCAGTTATTCGATGCAACACCTCCTCTCAAAGAGAGCACACTGCATCTTAATCTAATATATAGGTAACCCTTTTCGCAACTCAACTCTCAACGAAAAGCATCAATGTTACAATTCAAGCCCAAGGAGAGCCCAATCCAGAAAGCTGTCCAGATAGGTTGGAGAACCCCTAAGATTAATTACGACACTTGGTGGGTGTGAGAGGATCCTAATACTTTGCCAAATGGAGTTGTCTTGGTTAAAAAAACAGAAGAATATGGTGAAGTGTGAGGTTGGAAATAAAAGTGATTACAGTTATTAATACTTTAATGCATTATGTTTAAAAAGCAATGAGATGAGATTACCCATTTCCATTAGCCAGTAGCCACCGGTAGTAGGATTCTAATTCTCGTTTCGAGCACCAACCAACACAGCACAACGAAACCAAGTATTCTCTTCTGTGCTGTTCTTTCTTTCTAACAATGTCTTCCCTTCCTTTTCTTTTCTCAGATGCTAGGTGGGTCCCTCCATCACTCACTTCATTTCATCATCATAATCCCATTCTTCAATTGCTTTCTTATATTACTTGTGCTTCCTCCACCTTTTCTTTTCTCAGGCTGAAGTTGCTGCACAAGTCATGCCTAAATCAGGTTCTTTTATTTCTGTCTTTTTTATTTTTGTTATTTGCTGTAATTTTATTTTATTTCTAACTTGGAATAATGATTTGAATTTCAAAAGGTGGCAAGAGATTGGTGTACGGATGTTGGTGGGAAATTAATAGTAGTTACCAGTTTGGAGCAAAGCTAATGATGAAATGTTTCATACTCCTTATCTTTTTAAGTTTCAGTCATATAACCGAAGCGCCTGATGTTGAAGGTATAATAAACAATAACTTCTGTTTCAATCTATAGTCTAGTTTGATTTTGTTGTGTATTAGGCAAACTCGACGATAATATGTTTTGAAATTTTAAGATGCTGTAGGCTATGTTCATTGAGTGCTATTCATGAGACTCTGTTTCTTCTATTTTACACATTTCACACACTTATTATTTTATCCAAGATATTTTTATGTTCATTTAGAGTTGATTATTTGATTGAACTACCTTGTGTTTAAAGTGATTAGGTATCAGCTTTTTTCTGGGCAAAGCATTAGGTCTTAAAATTGTTGTAACTTTTACATTTTAAGAACCAAATAAACAAATGACTAACGAAGACCTATAGAAAAATCACTTTTTACTCTATGTTAAGCCTTCTGAGGTATTTTATATGACAAAAGGAGCAGTAAATGTATCATTATTTATAACAACAGTAGTTGGTGTATAATGTTTATTCTATGATAGTTGGGGATATACTGTTACTAAAAATTGATGCAAAGTTTTCAATGCAGCTTCATACTTATACTGCTTATTCACTTCTTTACAATTTAGAAAAAAAAGTTCCCAGTTTTTGTTTACTACATTATAACTGAAGTATCTTAAAATTGTTGTCCTTGCATCATTGTACAGTGTTACAGTTGATAAAATCTAGGCAAACATTAACCAAACGCAATTTATCTTGTATTAATGCTCTTATAAACATAATAAATACATTCCAAAATCTTGGATAAAATGTGAAAAACTTATATATTTACCAAGAAACTTAAAGCCCTTTTATACAAAGTCAACTAGATCTTTGTTTGAATGATTGTATGCATTATAGATTGTTGCTGCCAGCCATTACTAGTGGGCTTAATGATTGTTTTGTATGATTAACAAGGTTTTACACTTCTGCTATCTGTCAGGTGAAGCTTTGAAGGAGATTTTAAGAACTGTCAATGATACTGATGGTCGTATAACAGATTGGACTGATCCTTTTCTGAGCCCTTGTTTTAGTTGGTCTCATGTCACTTGCAGAAATGGAAATGTCATGTACCTGTAAGTCGACTAATTTGGCTGTTAAAGATAGTGGTTATCATAAATTTTCTTCGTCAGTGCAGTTTATATTCGTAGGCCATAAGTACTTAGGGTTGACATTGCTAAGACCCCAACTTTGCCCAAGTGCAGGCAGACATAAGTGGATTACATTTGGTCACTTCCTTGTATGGAAGGTTTCTTACAAATAAAAAATAAATAAATAAAAGTTTAAGGAGATATTTGCCAAATATAAGATATTTATTTATTTATTTTGGGAGAGAGGGGGTTGAGGAGTTCTGAAGCATTTAATAGGAGACACTGAAGAGGTGTGTATGTTATTAATTAAAATATGTATTACTGTGACTATAATAGTCATATTTGTTTATCTATTAATTTGCAGAACGCTGGATTCAAATGGATTTTCGGGAAAACTATCACCATCGTTGACCAAACTTAAGTTTTTGGTTGGCTTGTAAGTTTTCCTCTTGATGCTTAAGGTTTGCTATTTTGCATGATAGTGCAATTTATACTAATATTCAACTTGTAAAGTGGAACTGCTTCTTTTAACAATAGCAAAATATCCCAATATATTACGATGGGAATATGAATATTTACAAAATATGTCTTATGTTTATGCCATAGTTTACTTATAATATTGGCTTATAAAAACTTAACTGATCTGCATTTTTGCTATTTCAGAAAAGGGAAAACCTATGTCCAACTTCAATTTTAGTGATATTTGAATATAAGAGTTATTATACTGGATCAATTTTGGTGATATTAGAGTGACAATTAGTATGCTGGAATTTGTTTAGTTTCCTTTAAGTTAACCTCCAACTCAAGTTTATGGTTTGACTAGTCACTGCATTGCTATGAATGTGATGACTCTCAAGTTTTATGGTAGAGTGCCCTTCATAATTTTGAAAGATGTGATCTTGGTTTTTATTGAGTACTTGGAAATGTCTTTGTACTTCCTTGTGAAAAATTGTTAGCAACACATGTTTTTTTGATGAATTGTTTATCTGTTAAAAGATGTTGAGATACCATAAATATAAGAAGTTGTATTGCATGAGATTTGAAAAAAAAAATAGTAAAACGGTTCTTATGATGGATTATCATGTAATGGTTCCTAAATAGTTGGAGCTACAAGCAATAGAAGAACCCACACTGAATCGTGAAGGGGTATTGAAATTCGGTGTTTAGAGATACTCATATAGTGAAAAAATTTAAGGCACACATGTCAGGGTTGGTTAGTGGGATAAGGTGCTGTTTAGATCATTAGTATTAAATTGGTTGGAAGATGGTGACTAATAAGTCCTCTTGAAGCCTTTTGCTTGTAGTAAGCAATGGGAATATGACATGTTTTTGGAAGATGCTTGGCTTAAGGATAATCCTTTGTGTGATGTGTTACCTCGCCTTTGTTGGTTGTGGAAATCCCATAATGTCTCTATTAATTTGAAGCGATTTTTCTATTTTCTTCCGTAGTTGAAGTAGGAATTTCAAACTTTGGAGGAATTGGAATTAGAGAAAGATCCAGAACCTCTCTCTTCGTTTGGCTACTGTGGATAATGTTTCAATTATTGAACTTAAATTTGTTTCTCTTGGTTGATTTGTGATACATTGGGAGGCAGTTTTAGGCTTTATTTATTTTTGATGGTTGGGAGCTTATGACGTGTTTATTTATTTATTTATGGTTACCACTTTTTGTCTTCTGGCACCATATGTATAAATTTTTCTTGTTTTCTGAAGCTTGTCCTTCTTTAGTGTATTGCTTGTTAAATTTTGTGTAGCGCTTTTTTGTGAATACACATTTTTAGTTTCTTACCAAAAAAAATAAAATAAAAAAGGTTCTGTCCAGCAAGTCACATTGTGCCAGGACTAACAAATCCTGTAAACACTTGAATATGCTAAATTTTTTAAAAGCTCTCAATTTATTCTTGATGCTTTTCCAGTCACAACCCTGTAAATACTTGTAACATTCACTTCAGCAAAACTTCTAGTCCTCCCTATACTTTTTGATAATGCTTCTTCCTAGTTAATGGCATCTTAATTTAGCTTCTTTTATAATTTATTTTGTTTCTTCGGATAACAAATGTAGATTATTCATTTTGGTAAATTGTGGTTGTGCTTTCTCAGGGAGCTACAGAACAATAATTTATCAGGTGCATTACCAGATTTCATTGGCAGCATGGTTCACCTGCAAAGTCTCAATCTTGCAAACAATAAATTCAGTGGCTCTATACCCGTGAATTGGGGTCATCTATCAAATTTAAAGCATTTGTAAGGATGAACTTTAGTTTCTTGAACATTATAATTTTCATGTTTCTACTCTGCTTGAAGAAACATAAATTTTCTTGATTGTACCTGATGTGAACTGCATGGAACCTACAGTTATAGTCTTTATTTTTTAAGCTTAGTAACTTATGCTGATTGTAAGATTGTATACTGTTCAACTCTAATTATTGTTTTTGAATTCTTATTTGACAGGGATCTTTCATCCAATGATTTAGCTGGAAAAATTCCAATGCAACTATTTTCAGTTGCAACATTCAAGTAATCTCCAAAAGTCACTCTATTTCTGTAAAGTGTTAGTATATTATGCTGCCTTTGGTGCTTTTTCTGTTTCAAGGATGCACACAAACTTTAGAGGCTTGCCTGGCCATTTCATTGCATCAATTTTCAATAAGCTGAAGAACATTCTTATTGGTTTATGTAGGCAATAAGTTTTTAATTATGAATTTTTCTATGGTTTTTCAGTAACTAGATTCTTAATATCTAGCATCTTAAAATACCTCTGACAGCTGTTTATAATTACTGGCCTCTTATCTTTCGTTGCTGGTGGGAATAACATTTAGGAAACATGCATATGTTTATATGGTAGGTCTAGTGTTATTCATTTACCAAGCCCGAAAACATGAAAGCTAGTCAAATCAGATAATCTGGCTAGATAATGTAGATAGTCTGAACTAGTTTTGAGACTTATTTTCTTTCCGTCTGTAGACTGAAAAATGATCATCAAATGCATGCCCAAAATTAGATTTCAGTGAATAGGAAACCTTGAAATCAACCAATGTTAAGAGGAATGTTTGGATCACTGGATATAAATGTTACCTAATGATGCTATACTTGAGTGAAAACTTCATCTATAATCAACAAGCACATGTTCAACATTGTATCCAACAGCTTTTTCATGTGATTATGTCCCTCAACCTAATTACCTTCTTTAAATGTGACAGGACAATGGATGATTTTTAGACATAATTAAAATTTAAATAAAAACTTCAAACTCATTGCAATTGTCTAGTATGTTGGCCTTCTGTATCTTTCTTTTAATGCAATGTGTCTGTCACTGTTGCGAACCTACCCAGATTCCTTACTCAACCACACACAAAACACTAACACCGGATATATTCAGACAATTCAATGTAAACATCCAGAATCACAAATATATATATATTGCATTGAGAAGTCAGAATTACACTCATCTGATGGATTATATCCCAACACAAGATTAACAAGAACTGAATCAACAAAATAATGGAAAACTAATACGCTGGACTTCGAGGGCCAGCTACCTCCCCTTCACAATATTCTTTCCAGATCCCTTTTTCATCATCTGCTGCTCCCTTTTATTCATTTCCTTCCCTAACAGAATTCGACCCTCCACCATTCATCTTTTGCCACCTGTCCACTCCACCTTTTTCTTCTCTTCACACTTTAGTTGCTTTCTTTGTCACAATTGATCTTCTGGTGCTTCTTCCCACGCCTCTTATTATATACCTGCACCTCACGTGTTGTATCAGTTACATATTAATTTATGCTTATGCTTATCTACTGATTTTATTTGCTTTAATGTTCTGCTTATATTAGATAGCTTTGAAGTGCCTCATATCTATGTTTTTTTTTACCTCAAATACTCAATGAATTGCCATTGGCTGCTGTATTTTCAGCTTTACTGGAACACATCTCACTTGTGGCTCTAGTTTGGGGCAGCCTTGTGTGTCAAGCGCTCCTCTACCAGGTTATTCGAAATTTTTGCATTACTTCTGTTTTTAACTTACCTCAGCTTAGGACTGCTGTTGGGCCGTTTCTTGTCAATTTAGGCCCTTAGGATCCATAGTTTTAAAACATTGTATCAGTTTTTTTTGGATTGAGAGGCATGTTTAAATCTTCAAATCCTGTTTGTTTTATTAAATCAGAAGATAAGGCAAGATAAATCCTTGGACTTATATGATAAACCCTTTGGTTATAACAAGCTCAGCACTTGAGGTTATGCCAGAACTTGAATTTTGTTTGTTACTAATTTTTATAAACTTAACTGGATTGATGGTAAGTTCTTCACCACATGTACCTTAAACCTTCATGGAAATTGAACTAGATATGTTTGACAGTTTCAACCAGCAGATCAAAACTTAGAGTTGTTGTAACATCAGCAAGTTGTGGTGCTTTTGTACTTCTGTTGATTGGTGCTCTCTTTTTATTCCGATATCATCAGTTGCACAGACGCAAACATGATGTTTTTGTTGATGTTGCAGGTAACTTCAATTTCCTTTAGTTTTGAGGTTCATCTAATCAGCATTTTTAAATAGTAGTTATACATATTTAAGTTGAACATGATGACATTGTGATAATTTATTGGTTCTCTGATTTTCTGAAAAGGACTTCATACAACTACATAATTGTCATTCATACATTTGAAGTGTTTATTTATTAAGTGATTTTTTACTTAGTGATGATTTTAAGATGTTTTTGTCTTAATCTAAAAGTACCTCACGGTTGTCTTAAAATTTATTTATTTATCATTTTTCTTTAACACAATGTATTGTTTCATATCATTTATTTTAAACACCTGATATCCTCACCACACCATTGCACCCCGTCACTCCCACATTGTCCCCACCACCAAAAATGAGTTTATAATAATAATAATTCAAAGAATAGGAGTAGTTTGAAGAATAAATATCTTAATTATAAGTTTTTTGATGTTTCAAAATGGTTTAAACAACTCATCCTTTAACACTAAATTTGAAGGAAAAAAAAAAAAAGAAGGTTCCTGAAAATTATACATTCAGCTTTTCTTAAGATTTTAGTCAAAATTATATTAATTAAGAATTTGAAAAATATCTATAAGGAGCAGCTCAGGATTGTTTTTTGAAATTATTTTGGCAAAATGTATTTGAAGAATAAAATTTATGTTTGTTTTCTCAAGATTTTGGAATGTGTTCTATTTCATTTTCGAAAAACAGTATTTTGAAAATAAATTGATGAAAATATGCTAGATAAAGTTTTATTGAAATTGAAAAAATTATTTGTTAATATTTATTAGTATAATACTGATCAATATTGTCTATAAATTAAAAAATCATTAGGTGTTTGTACTGAGGTCATTTATTTGTGGTTTAAAGACGCGGCTGTCCTTTTGATCAACAAAAGTCTTAGCATCAAGTGACGGTTAATGCAAATTTGTCATCTAAAAGGTACAAAACTTTGAAATATTTATTTGTTATGAGGTGGTGTGATAAAAAAGCATTGTGATAGAGGAGCAAAGATTTACAATAGAGAAAAAGAAGAAATAGAGAGGATAAGAGAAAGAATAATAATAAAGGGAGAATTTTAGAAGACAAATTATGTATAGAACTCAGAGCAACAATAGTTAAATCAATTATTCATCAACGAAGTAGTTTCTCACTTAAAGTAAGGCGTATTTATGGGCTTAGAATAAAAACGTTAATGGCAACATAATTCATTCCTAATAGAAAAATTGAAAAAACTCCAATTCTCACAAAAATGGGGAAATAAAGATTAAAATAACTTAGACAAAATTAGCCTTTTATCATAAAAATATATAGACTAAATAGTCTTTGCATCTACTCTAATATCTCCTGTATAATCCTTGGATGAGAAAAACTTAGACTTCTAGCAAATGAAGAAGGTAGATAGAACAACCATAGCAGCAGTAGGTGGATGCATCAAACAAACAATTGAATGCCAAAGCAAATCGTTCCAAGGCACAACAAGAGTGTCTAAAAAGAATCTTGTAGACCCTACAAAGATATCATTGGAGGCTTGCAATTGCCTCGGTTAGGATACAAATATTTGCTAATAATCATTGAACAAGAATCAAACTCACAGGCAAATGAAGAATGCATGCTATCTAAGCTGAGAATGTGTAGGAATGTCATGGAGGTGGTATGGCAGTAAAACAAAAGCAATGAGAGAAAACACAAGATCAAAAGAAGTCCTACAAACATCATTTAAAGGCTTAGGAATTATGTTAGGCTCACTTTGTGTCGAAAGCAGTGTGTTAACTCTATGTCTGTGTGACACTTGGGAAGAGGAGAGGAGTCAAATCTAGGCAATTTTTCAAGAGGTTTATCAGGTCTCAGTGTAATCGCCTATAATTGTGACAAATGATAATAGTATTGTCTCTTTCACTACTAGTCACATTAAGGTCATAAAGGCAAGGTCTACCTAAAAGAATGTGAGCTACATCCATAGGATTAACATCACAATATGTCTCATCACAATATGACTCAAACTTTATAGGGACTAACCATTATTTAGTGACTGGTAAAGAATTCCAATCAACCTAAAGCTACTCTAAACGGACAAGGGTGAGGTTCAAGCTTGAGGTTGAGTTTAGCAACAAGAGACATAGATACCTCATTCATAGTACTAATACTATCACTCAGAAGCTTACAATTCTTATCTTTACAAGGATAAAGCTGTGAAAAAAGCTGGTATGATTCCAATCACTATTTTAGGAGTAGATAAGAGACACCTAATCACACCCATTTGATCATTATAAGGATATAGGTTTTTTTATCTGGTTCATTTCATTCCTTTTATTTTATGACAAGCTAGTTTCTCAATTATTTCATTCTAGCATGGAACATAATATACTTCCCTTATCTTAAAATTTTTAATGAAGTCAACTTTATCCCATAAAAATAAATGATGATTTCTTTTGAAATTCACTAGTGTCATTTTTTTTTTTTTATGATAATTTATCGTGTCATTTTTTTTTTTTTTTTTATGATAATTTGAATTCTCTGCTTCCATTTTGATGGAAAACATGGGTAAAATTTCAGGTAGCATATTGTGGAAGGTTTTTCTGAAATAATATCTGGCAATCTTTTTGTCTTAGGTGAAGATGATCGAAGTTTTTTTGGTCAGTTAGAAGATTTCTTGGCGTGAACTCCAACTTGCAACTATAATTTTAGTGAAAGCACATAATTGGACAAGGAGGTTTTGGGAAAGTGTATAAAGGTCTCTCTGACAACACAAAAGTTGCTGTGAAACGCCTTGCTGATTATTATAGTCCTGGTGGAGAGGCTGCATCCACAGGGAAGTCCAACTTATAAGTGTTGCTGTTCATCGGAATCTTCTCAGTTAGTTGGGTTTTGTACAACTCTCATCCGAGAGAATCCTTGTACCCTTCATGCAAAATCTTAGCGTCGCGTATCGCTTGAGAGGTGCTTTCTTTCATGAGAATCATGCTTTAGTTTCATTTATTTGATTGCTCTTTGCAGTTTGTATATAAACTGACTAGTTTGCCATACCCGAATGTTCTCATGTTTTTCTATTTAAGTTGGGCAATAATTTAAAATTCTCCCTGATGATTAAACAAATTGAATCACACAATACAAGACTTCCAAATTGATTTATACCTGGCAACACAATTTTAAGCATATTGATTTTATGACCCAATACAAATCTAAAAGTCTCTAAATTGATGTTAAAATAATCATATTATGCTCTGGAGATGCAAAACATATTATCATTTGAGGATAGAAGATGAGACAGTAACCAAGTCCCCCAACTAAAATACTCTCGAACATATTAACCAAAGGCTGTTGAACAAGTCTCCTCAAGCAGCCAACCACTAATGCAAAAACTGGAAAAGGAGATAATAGAAGCCTTTGTTTCAAACCCCTTGAAGGCCTAAACTTATCTCTGAGACACCTATTGATAAAGACCAAGAAGTTCACAACCAAACAGCGCAGTTCAACTCCACCTATTCTCAAACCTTTTAGTCTCCTTCATAAACTTCAAATAAATTGCACAATAAGTTTACAAGTTAGGATTTTGTTCAAATTTCATAGTAGTTCTGTGAGCTGTGATTTAGTTCAAAATTAGAACTTTCTTTGACCAGCCTTCATTTCAGTAGGTAATAGAATTCTATGTTTATTTTGATATATGCTATAGATTTGAAACCTGGAGAGAAAGGCTTCGACTGGCCAACAAGGAAATGTGTGGCATTTGGAGCAGCCCGTGTTTTGGAGTATCTACATGAGCACTGTAATCCTAAGATTATACATCGTGATTTAAAAGCTGCCAATATCCTTTTGGATGACAATTTTGAAGCTGTTCTTGGCGATTTTGGGCTGGCAAAACTTGTTGATACAAAATTGACTCATGTTACCACTCAAGTGCGCGGTACAATGGGCCACATTGCCCCAGAATATTTGTCAACTGGGAAATCTTCAGAGAAGACAGATGTGTTTGGATATGGAATAACTCTACTAGAACTTGTAACTGGTCAACGTGCAATAGATTTCTCTTGCCTTGAAGAGGAAGAGGATGCTCTTCTGCTTGATCATGTAAGATTATCTACTTTGTCCACTCTTATATCTTGTTTCAAGTTTCCTATTTCTGAATTGATTTTGAATCATGAAGCACGCATGCTTAATATTTGTGACCTCGGAACTTCGTGTTTTATGTTCTTCGTGTTGTCTTTTTGATATGTTGATGTCCTTGATTTCATTTTCTTATTTAGATATTTCATTTAGTTGCCAAATAAAATTTTACTTTATGAGATGTTAAAGCTTTCCAAACTACTACTAGGCTCTCCAAAAATATTATTCATTTAGAAACTTAAAGATAAATGAGTGACTCTTAAAAATTATTAAAAATAAAATTCTTAATGTAGCCCAGCTATAAAATTGCAATTAGTTCTATCAATTTGTTTCTTCAAACACAAATAATCATTTGACTTTGTTGTTTTTCTTTCTTAATGGAAAATTAAATCTGCATGATCGAGAGCTTGTTATAGTTATTTTAGAAAGTAAGTTTTCTTATGAATTAAAATATTTTATTTGTTGTTTTAGTTAGGTTAGAATATTTCTAATTTGGACTTGATATTTGTTACAGATGTACATGACTTCCTAAATGATAGGGATCACATTAAAATCCTTGATTATAGGGATCACTACTATCCTAATTTAGATTGATCACCTACCTAGTTTAGAACACTACAAGTGTATATAAATATGTATCCTTTTAAGCTAATAATACAGTAAAGTGTATATTCATTACGTTTATTTTACATGGTATCAGAGCNACAATTACAACCATAACAGTCACATGTGATTTTTAATTAGAGCTCAGATCAAGATTCCATATAGGATCTCACCTATGTTCTCTAAAGTGGAAGAACAACAGTGCTATTCAAGAGGTTCATGCTTCACATATTAAAGGAAAAACAACTTATGGAGCACTCCTTGAAGTAGTTCTTGATTTAGTTTTCAATTTGGGCATTGGAAAACGTGTGGTTGAGATAGTTCCATAAGATGAAAATGGAATTACAGAAAATATGGTTGAGATGGTGCTCGAAATTCAAATTGAAGACTAGCAATATCTAGAAGTTAATAGTTTTAATCAGAAGGTACAATTTGCTCTGGAAGAAAATGTTGTTGAAGAGTTCGAATGCTATGAAATCGAAGTGAATCAAGAAGCAACTAATCAAGATAAGAATGTTAAAGTATCACCATCAAGGCTTGTATATGTTAGACTATATTTTCAGCCATTAATACAAGGGAGAATAAGAACTATGGATGTTTGCAAGTTTTAAAGAAGATCAATGAAGGTTTTGTATTTTCTCCTTTTGATGACATAATGTTTTTCTACTAGATTATCCATTAAATGCCTGACTTAAGCAAATTGCCTTGAGAAAAAGATATTGTCAAGGAGATTGGATACCGTGAAATTGGATGAAGGAAAAAGCAACTATGCTAGATAAGAACGTTAAAGTTTCACCGTCAAGGCTTATTTTCTTGTTTCAATTGAAGATGACGATAAAGGTTTTTAATTGCTCCATCAGATGCGATAATGGTTTACTACAAGATTATCCATCGGATAGATAACCATAAGATGAGTTCTTTTCATGCGGAGAGATTGATGTAGGACAATTTCCTTGGGAGAAATTGAGAAATAGGAATTGGCTTTAGTTTGAAAGAAAAAGGACAACTTCTAATCGTAGGTGCTAGTTTACTGGGGCATTGTTTTTTCATTCCAGTCTATATCTCACATCAATGTTCTGGAAGTGCATATTTTTATTCTAAAATTCCTTGCAATTGCAATACAAAAAGAAATAGATTAATGCTTGATTGAAATAAAAATTACTATGAAACAGAAAATCTTGTTAAACATTAATGAGAAAAATCATTTAAAAAGTGTTAGTTGTGATTATGCATATTGTCCCACCCTAATTCTTTTTTCGGATCAATTGACAATTGCCATGCAAATAAATTTGTTAAAACTACGGCAGATAACATAGTTATAACAAAACTTACTCTAATGTTATTTTACATTCTACATAACATAGTTATAACAAAACTTACTCTAATGTTATTTTACATTCTACACACTGAGTGCTATCGTTTTCCCAACTTATTCATATGATTATTCCATGGAATATACAAATTTCTGAAAACAGAAAAAAGGAAAAGTATTATCTTACTGAATGTAAACAGCTTGAATGCTTGTTACATGTCTGGTATTTCCTTTTCTTCTTTTATTGTCTGGGATATCTTACTTTTGGGAACAATGTATAAACATGCGAAAACTATGTTTCATTAGTGGTGCTTATATAATTTATTTTTTCGACAGATTAAGAAATTACTGAGAGAAGATAGACTAAGTGATATTGTGGATAAAAACCTAAAGAATTATGATTCAAAAGAAGTCGAGATTGTAGTCCAAGTGGCGTTGCTCTGCACTCAAAGCTCCCCAGAAGACCGTCTGACAATGGCAGAAGTAGTTAAAATGTTGGAAGGAGTGGGTCTAACTGAGAGATGGGCTGAGTGGGAGCAGCTTGAACAAGTAAGGCATCAAGGATTCTCACTCATGTCTCAGCAGTTTGCTTGGGCAGAAGAGTCAAGTCTTGACCAAGAAGCAATACAGTTGTCCAAAGCAAGATAGAACATAATTTAAGTCTATTTGGACTAAAGCTTTATATATCACTTACTGTATATGAAATAAAAACCGACAAAAATAATATCCTATGGTTTGCTTATGATATGCTTGTGCTTGTAAAGTTTTTTCTAGATTTTTTACTATCTAATTTTCTTTGCTTCAATTGAAGGTAATTGGGAATATGATTTAGATCAAATGCACTAACACATTCATTAAGATGTGATTCAATGTCTCAAGTTAGAACATCAGGCTTTCTTATTGCCTTAATTCTATGATATAATGCTTGTTTACCTAGGATTAATTTCCTTTATACTAGGTTTCCTAGTTTTTTTTAGAGTTTATAAATAAATTGTAGTACTGCTATGCCCAATTCTCTAACAGTCAGATTTGTATTGCATATTCTCGAAGTACATCAAAGCCCGATGACGAGGATCCTCCCACATGTCGTCCCCTTGGTGCTTGACTTTCTTGACAAGGTGATTACTGTCACAATTATGGGTTAAGTTGCCATTAGCATGGTCTGATTTGTCACAAGCATGAGAATTACTAACTCAAATCCTAATTAGGGGGATTATGCGTACAACCAACCTCGTAATACTTACTTTCAACCACTGTCAAAAGAGCTGAATATAAAAAGAGCCTATAGGCTACAGCCACCGTTTCAAATGACGATTCCAGTATCAGTAAAGCTCAAGTGAAAACTACACTGATCTTCTAGAGAGAGTTTAGAGTGGATAAGCTGCAAGAGTCGAATACCTTTTATTCATCTCGCAAGATTCCCTTTCTGTAACCTTATTTGACCTTGTAACACCCTGCAATAATAATACAACGGTGGATGTAGGTTTGGTTTATATACTGTCGAACCACTATAAAATCTCTTGTGTTTTTTACTATGTTACGTCACTTTAGCGACCTTGTTGGTTATCCGTAACCACGGGTACATTTTGCTCGACCCCTTTCAAGGTTGACTGGATATCTTTAGTTGGTACGAATTATTGCATCAACATTTTGGCGCTAGAAAGAGGGGTTTCCCCCTTAAACACTCTGTGTGGAGAAAACACCTCTCCACAATCACCGGCTACAAACTCCATACAAAAGAAATGGTCCTCACCAGAACTTCCAAAAGTTAGGTTGTAGGCCTAAAGGAAGCTAGTTGCTAAGAAATCTAGTAGGGAAACCTGACCAGCCGCTCGTCGGCAACCCTGCACTCACCGGTCATCCAGACAACGAATCCGCTGGGAGTAGGTACTTCCAATCCCAACAACATCTAGATGATGGACACATTAAAGTCATTGACCACCGCAATACAAGCCTTACAGCGAAACGTAATCGGGGCGAAAAGCACGTAATTGGGAGTTCGATCGCAAACAAACACTTAGAATCAACCGACCCCAAGTTGGGAACTTGAAACTATGGGCTCTGAATCCACCTCGTCCATGCCAGAAAGCGTGTAATGCCCCCAGGCACAAACCATGAGGGAAACACGAGAATGAGAGACTCGCAGGCAAAACTCTCTTAGTAAGCAGCCAGGGAAAGAACCAGCAACGAGATAGATAGGCCACTGTGAAGCTATTCACTTAGATGATAGCCAAGCTCTACAAGCAGGCGCACATGCGCACTACAAGAGACCCGACCAAGATGATAATAGCACTTACCACTCTAGCAGCTACGATTAGTCAACTCGAATAAGTGTGCACCATAGACTTATTTATCCAAACAGAAGGCAAACAGAACATCAAAACCATCCAATCGAATTGCCCATCCATCAGACAAAAGCACCAAACCCTCAGGTCAACAATTAGCTAGACTAGGTACAAAGTGTTAGAGTAGGTGCCCTAAAGCCAATCAATTATTGTAGAATTGACTCTTTGTAATAATGTTTATTAATCAATAAAAGACATTTTATTCTATATTATGTAAATCATATTGATATGTATTGATATATGTTTTTAGAATGGTAGAACTGTGACGAGGGTATCAAGTGTTTCAAATCTTAATGGTGAGAACCCTATGATCATATATAGTGGCCATTCTAGAAATGTCTGCAGCCCAAGTATTATTCTGACCATCGACACAGATAATATGGTAAGACTATCATAGTATTGAACAACCCAATGGAAAGGGATTGACTGATCTCACTCATCAAGGTTGTTTGCCGACAACCTGGTGCAACATATGGGTGCTTGCTATAGGCAAGTTCACTAGACTAACCAACCAAAGGATTCCATATAGATGGTAACCCCAATGCCTATGGAATAAATCCTCTAACGAATGGTGGTGCGTGTGATCCTTAGACTTGAGATCACCTGAGCGCCTTGTGCACCGATTGGCGTAGTTTGACACTAGCCTAATGTAGTTTTATTTAAAGCTATCAATACGGTAGTGATTGGCTAAATCGAGGAGTATATCAAGACTATGGTGGATCGACAAAGGATTCATCACTCCCGAGTACGGGAGAAGTTATCTAAGGCCCGATTCAGTATATGACAATGACACTAAAGTTGTGGCCACAGTGGGATTGAGTTGTTGCTCAATCCAATTTATTATTTCAGTTATTGGTCTAGTAACTGAATACAAACACATCAAGAATAACTGAGGTTGACACTATTCTATTTCTATACCTTAGTCTCGATCAGATAACAAATGATGAAAGAATTTAATTGCACGGTAACCATATCGTTGATAGGTAGCTATTTTGCTGAATCTCAATCTATCAAGTGACCATGATGCCTTGCTAGGGGCCAATCTTGGTCTGTGTGTAGTGAAATGATTAATTGGTGTTAATCGCGATCATACTCACTACTGATATGATGAGGAGCTTATGGGTCACACACTTAGAAGATAATTTAAGAATCAGTTTATGCAAGGAGTATTTTCGTCTCTTAAGACGAAATGGTATTTTGGTAATCTCATAGTGCAATTAAATTTGCTGAGGTTGTTGCTTATGTTTAATTTAATATTAAAATTAAATATTTAAATATAAGTATGCATATATTTAAACGAATTATTACTATTAATTAAATGTTAATATATTTCATATATATATTAATTGATTTTAATAATAATAATAATTAATTAAAAATAAAATACCATAATGAGGGTGTTTGGATACAAGGGTGGATTAGGGTTGGAGTCCATGTCTATTTCTTATAGGAATAGGGTTTTAACACATGCACTATACAAGTGCAAGCTGTGTTAAAGAGAATAATTCATTCACCCAGATCTTGGCGTAATCAAAGTAATTGATGGGCAATAATTTTTTATTTTTCGTTGCTCCTGCTCATTGATTTATAGCACAAAGGATGCTCGACAATCTAAAAAAGCAACGAGACAACCCACAGTTGTGATAGTCGATGCCCCATTTTTGGAAGAAGAGTAGAATGCCCTTTTGCCCGCAAACTTTAAAGCACCGGATACGAAGTTCGATGACAAAGGCGACCCTTGGGACCATTGATGAGTGCTAGAAATGCATATATATTTAGTGATTTGGTAAGTTGATTATAGGGAATTCATGGTTTAATGCATTATATTGTATGAAATTCCTTGCATGTTTCTTTAACTTCAAGAATCATGGGTCTGTATGTGTTTTCAGGAATTCAGGTGCAAAATTCATGATTCTTACGTGCGCTGATGTTTGGACCATCGAGACACATTAGAGTGTGAATGAATCAAGACATGAAGAAGAAAAATTGGAACTTCGAGGTTGCATCGTGACACAAATCGACGCAATTCTAGTTGTGTCGCAACATAGATTTATGGTGCTGCAGCACAAATCGGCGAAACCCAGCGTATGCTGTGGCATGGAATCGTTTTTGTCGAAGCACAAATCGGCGGAAATCGCGCTGAGGTGCAGTTCAAGTAGAATGCAAAATATGCACATTTTCTGACCCAGATTTATTCCTTATATTAATTACAAAATTCCCTTGTAATAAACTATAAAAAGGCAACTTATTTCATTTTTTAGGTTTTCAAAACTTGGTAAACAATTGGCTAACTTGAAGAAGGGGTTTTTGAGAGGCAAGGAACAAAACCTTGATTTTTGTTGTTAATTCTTGATCCAAATGGTTATGGGTAAGATTGAGGTTTGTTTTCTTGTAATTGTGCAACTAAACCCTTATCTAGCGTATCCAATGTAGCCTAATTAGAATACTCTATGTTTTTAATCTAAGTTACTTGTTTAATCAATTCAATGCAATCTTAGTTTCATTCATTGTCGTTTATTCAATCTTTAATTGATGTTATTGTTTGATCATCTTTAATGTTGATTAATTGATTGTGTGAATCAAGGTTAGACTATACGCCCTAGCTAATCTTGAATAGCTCTTGTGATTGAATGGTTTGTGTCTGTACATATGCTTTGACAAATATAAATTGGTTTGTGAACTCTGGTACTCGTGGTCTTAATGGGTTGTTAGTAATTAGACTAGGCTACACGCCCTAGCTAGTTAGTGATGAAAACACTAGGTTAATCCCGAACGCCCTACATTAACACCTTAATTAAGTGAGTATCGACCCAAGGATGTGAATTGAGAAAGCAATAGTTAGATTATTGGCATAGAGTAGGATAAATACGGTGAAATTGGATACCTAGACCTTAGTCCATTTGATTCTCATCTGTTTTATTAGCATCTTTACTTTAATCGTTAATTTTAGTTATTTTACTGTTATTTTAGAATTATTAGTTAGTTGATTATTTTTGTTCACTTTATTTGCTTCACTTTATTCAATTAAACCCAATTCAAAATCAGGACTGATATAGTACAACCCATTAAGAACCCAAATTAACCCATACAAGGTTTAATTAGTTACTTGCGTTTGAAGGCCCCTTCAGATTATTTTTTATTTCTTTTCGCCAACCGATTCAAGATAGAATCGCTCCAATTAAGTCCACAAAAAAGCAAGGATGTTGATGCGTTGTTACTACAACATGCATAAACAGTAAGTGCACTAATCGCACAAAGTAATAAAGTGATGAGTGAGTATCGTTCCCACCAGGATAGTGTTACTAAGTACCGATTTTTCTAGTTTAAGTCCTAATTGAAGCAACAATAAATTGGATTGATGGAAAATTAACAAACTAAATACAAATTAACAAAATAGAAA